CACTTCGCCTACCGGTACGAGGCTGCCACTCGAGAACCTTTCTTCCCCATCGGTTGTCGGTTCTTCGAGCTATATGGCCGGCCCACTGCCACTTCAGCTTACTACTCCGTTGGGCTACGTCGGTTACTCTGGTTCTACTGCGGATATCCTCATTTCTAAGTTTATCACGCAGAGAAACCCCGAGCATAGCCCTCTCCATAGCTCGGTGAGCGAACTTGAGCTTCCTCATACGAGTCTACTCAAATGCCTGGAATTTCGTCGGGGTAGGTACCGACCTTTTACCGTGTCCCGGTCAGTGGATATAGACAGTCAATATATAATTACAGGTTGTAAAGCATTCCATCTTAGTCCTTATAGGTGACAACCAATCAGAGGCGTAGCGTGGACTGATATAGACGTGGGCGAAATCGCATCAGGGAGGCCCCTTTTCTTTCGTTCCCAAGATCTACCTTCCCAATAGATCTATCTCACCAAACATGCTTTGACACGGTATACCTACTCATAGCTATTAATTCCTGACATTCTGACTGACTGTCTCGTATTCGGTCGGCCGCGGTCTTAACGGCCTCGCAGTCGCACTTAATAGTGGCCTATTACAAGGCTCCAAACACGCTTTTAAATTTGTGACGTTCTTTTTCGAGAGTAAAAGTAATCAAATTAAGTAGTCATCTGTGGTGAAGTCTGGGGGCATCGCATTTTAAGCACAAAATAAATATTAGGTCCTTACGTATGAAATTGGTGTTTTGTACGGGAGGAATGTAAAGTAAAATTTTTTTTTGTAAAATATATTTAAATTATCAAAGTATGCACCGTTGTTGTCTATGCATTTTTGCCATCTCATAGGTAGTTCATTGATCCCTTTACTAAAAAAACCATGGGGGCGAGAATCAATAAACTCTTTGAAGGCGGTTTGGACTGCCACATCGAAGTTGATTTTTTTTCCTTGTAAGAAGTTGTCCAAATTAGTAGTCCCGAAATCATGGAAGACAGCTTTTGTCCACCCGATCCCTAAAAAAGGCGACCGCTCAGATCCGTCCAACTACAGGCCTATCGCCATCACCCCCTTGTTCTCCAAAATAATGGAATCCGTTGTAAACTTCCACCTCATGCGGTACCTTGAGGATCACCAGCTGATTAGTGACCGCCAGTACGGTTTTCGTCGGGGTCGATCAGCTGGTGATCTTCTGGTCTACTTAACTCATAGATGGGCGTTGGCAGTAGAGTCCAAGGGGGAGGCATTGGCCGTTAGTTTGGACATTGCGAAGGCCTTCGATCGGGTTTGGCACAAAGCGCTTCTTTCGAAGCTCCCTTCCTATGGGCTTCCCGAGAAATTATGCAATTGGATCACCAGCTTTCTTGCAGATCGGAGCATCAAGGTCGTTGTAGACGGTGCATGCTCCGACTACAAGCCTATTAACGCTGGTGTTCCACAAGGCTGCGTGCTATCACCAACGCTGTTTCTTCTGCATATCAATGATATGTTGCAAGCTGGTAGCATTCATTGCTATACAGATGACAGCACTGGTGATGCTCTATACACCGGCCGTGCCAATATTTCTCGGGAAAACGTCACCGAGTACCGGAACAAACTTGTGTCTGAAGTCGAGTCTTTGCTGGACAAAGTCTCGGATTGGGGGCGACTAAATCTAGTCCAGTTTAATCCTCAGAAGACACAAGTTTGCGCGTTTACCGCTAAAAAGAACCCCTTTATCGTATCTCCTCAGTTTCAAGGTACTCCCCTTGTTGCCTCAGCCAGTATCGGAATCCTCGGCGTCGACATATCGAGTAGCGTGCAGTTTCGTGGTCACTTGGAAGAGAAGGCCAAATTGGCCTCTAAAAAGCTTGGCGTGCTCAGCAGAGCGGGACAGTATTTCATGCCGGCTCAACGCCTGCAACTTTACAAGGCGCAGGTTCGGCCTCACATGGAATACTGTTCCCATCTCTGGGCTGGGGCTCCCCAGTGCCAGCTTCTTCCACTTGACCGCATCCAGCGCAGAGCGGCTCGAATCGTCGACGACCGAGTCCTTTCCGATCGGCTCGACTCATTGGCACTGCGAAGAGATGTTGCATCTCTTAGCATTTTCTTTCGCATTTACCATGGGGAGTGCTCTGAGGAATTGTTCGGATTAATCCCAGCCGCCAAATTTCACGAACGCACATCGCGGCAGAACTCCCGATACCATCCACACCATCTGGATGATTGGCGGTCCACCACTGTGCGATTTAGAAGATGTTTTCTTCCTCGCACAACTTCCTTGTGGAATAGTTTACCACCAGCGATTTTTCCGGACCGATACGACTTAGGGACCTTCAAGAAAAGAGCCTACTCCTTTTTAAAAGGCCGGCAACGCATCTGCAATTCCCCTGGTGTTGCGGTTGTTCATGGGCGGCGGTAGTCACTTACCATCAGGTGAGCCGCATGCTCGTTTGGCCCCTCTCCTATAAAAAAAAAAAAAAAAAAAAAAATTCCGGAAAAAATTGTAATCTCTTGGAGCAAGGTCCGGGGAGTACGGTGGATGTCGCAGACATTCCAATTATAGCTCATCTAACTTAGTGGTTGTTTGTTATGCAGTGTGTGGTCTTGCGTTGTCGTGAAGCAGCAGTGGCCTAGAGCGATTGACCAATCTCGGTTGTTTAGCAGCTAGTTCTTCCTTCATGGTTTGCAGTTGCTGACAATAGATATCTGCCGTAATCGTTTGGCCAGCGACACCGACGCTAGTCCACCAAACACTTACAAGTAACTTTTTCTGAGCCAATTTTCGTTTAGAGCAGGATTTGGCTGGGTCTCTAGGGTTCAGCCATTGCGACGAGAGCTTCTGATTAACGTACAGTATCCACTTTTCATCACACGTAATGATTCGATTTAAAATCTCTTCATTATTGTGTCGGTTGAGTGAAGTAACACAGCAGTTGACGCGTGTTTGGAAGTTCGATTCACTCAATTCATGACGTACCCATCGTTCAAGTTATTTTTACTTTCCCGATTTGCTTCAAGTGGATTAATACAGTTTAACACTTACCCCGAAGCCTGCAGCTGTCTCTGAAGTGCATTGTGATGGATCCGCTTCCACAATAGCCTTTGATTCTTCATTTTCCACTTTGGTCTCCGGCCGTCCACGAGGTTGGTTCTGAAGGTCGAAATTTCCAGAACGAAAACGTTGAAATTTCAGACAATATATTATCTTAATTTTTTTACAATATTAAAAACTATAATAATAAAAAAAAACTAAAACTAGAAACTTAATTATCATATAGTCCGACTCCCCGCGGTATCGTGCCAAGAACGCTGGCTGCGTTTCCCCGCTAAATGGCTATACTTAGCCATTGAGCGAGAAAAAAACCAGCCCTCTTATCACCAGCAGCAACGACCAGCCGCGGATGAAATTTCTTTAGGAACTTCACCACACGTGGACTCCACGGACCGATAGTCTCTACAGCAAATGGCACAAATATGTAGTCATCTCTCAGAGACTCATATTTGCGCCACTTACTCAGTTCAGCTTCCTCTGATGCCGCCCCGGCTCTAAGCGAGGTACCCCTGAGATGAGTGGCCGCCAGAGTGTCTACGAAACCAAAAACGTACCGTGCTTTCTTTTGCGACACCAGTGCCGTACACATCCTTTATCCTTCGATCTGTTTCTACAGCACTGGTGCCACGGTAGAACTCGTACTCGTAAATATACCGATATTTCATGTTTTCCATTGTGCGGTAATAAGCGACGCCAAAGAAAAAAATAATAAGGAAAAAACAAATGAATGACTGTTTTCAAAACTCAAATGTACCAGCTAAATGAATTTATAAATTTGAATTTGGAATTCTTAACCAATGAGGAGATATTTCAGATCAAAGTGGTCAGTACGACAAAACGCTAATTTCATATGTAAGGACCTAATAACAGTACAAGAAGTGCGATGCCGTGGGCGAGGGCCCACTTTGCCCACTTTTAGCTACGCCACTGCAACTAATGATGAATTATAAGGCACATTTGGTACTAGCCTAGGAGCTTACTACATAGCAGAGAGGCCATGAATTTTTAAACTTCTGATAAAAAATTACATGTCTCATTATGGAAAAAATGCTTCTTATATACTAGTCAATCAAAATAGAAATGAATTTCCCGCTGTTTATTACAAAGGTATTAATGCAGATTACATTAACCGTGTATAATGGCAGTGTAAGAAATACCCACTACCCCATATCGTCCCGTAGGTGTCGTGAGAGACGACAGAGGGAAAATAAAATAGGAGATGGGAGCTCTTATCAGGAAGACGCTGCACTTCCTGATAAGAGCTGAATAAAAATAAAAAAAACTGCGGTTGCCAACCCGCTTGCCTAGTGTGGATATCGAATATCCCTCCTATGAGGCAATCTATGGGGGAGGCCTATGTTTAGCAGTGGACTTTTATAGGCTGTAATGGAAACATAATTCAAAATGGAAAAAAAGTAATAAGATATTTTTTTGAAAGTTAGCGACCCGTAAACTTATAAATGATATCGATATCCGCAATGTTTTTTCTCATATTTTATATTACACTTATTTTCATTTATAACTATGGAAACTGACATTCAAAAAGAATTAGTTTCTCAGGTTTTAGTTAAGATGCCTAAAACATAATTAAAAATTTCACAGGTAATTTTAACAGGGATATCGCTATTAAAACGTCAAGGAAACAGTGCTATAGTTATTAATGTATACCTCAAAAATTTTAACTATTTTACTTCAAAAGAAAAACAATATAAAATAAAAAACTAGGGTACAGTCTAATATATACCTAGTCAGGTCATAAATTCTGTCACATGTTTAATATAAAATAATTGAAAGAAGTATATTCATTATGTAACCATTTATATACCAAAATGAACTTAACAAAACTTAGATTCTTATGATACTAAAGTTTATTCAAAATGACCTCCGTGATTTTGAATACAGGCCTTCAATCTGGGCGGCCAGTCGTCTATCGCAGCACTAACGAGGTCCATGTCAATATCGGCGGCTGCCTTAATCAAGGATGTCTTGTGACTCCAAATTGGGATGAGGCTTTGAGCACGCCTTTTCCTCCAAGTGTTGCCATATCTTGTAATCTAACGGATTCAAATCTGGACTGGAGGAGGGCCAGTCTTCGTGCCGGATGAAGTCGATTTCACGCGCCGCCAGCCAGTCTTGTGTGCTCTTCGCTCTAAGAGCTGGCGCCGAATCTTGTTGGAATACCCAGTGCCTGTTATTGAACATGGTATGAGAAACAGGTTCCACAAGGTTCGTCAGGACTGTATTTTGATACACAACTGCATTCGTTTTTACACCTTTCTCACAAAAATGTACCTCTGTTGAATTGGCGCATAACCGAAACGACGCAACGCAATAACTGCAACACGGTCTTCTTTAAGCGTCCAATCCATATTTAAAAATGACTAAAATTCTAAAAAGTATACAGTTTTATTTTCATGAACAATTCGAAATTCGAATTCAATAAACTTTTTTGTGGCCAGCATTCTAAATGAAAAGTTTTTACTGTGTGACAATACTTATGACCTGACTAGATAAAATGAATGTTTGTCTGTTCGTATTTTATGCGCTGTCACTGCCATACCGTTCATCAGATTACGGTAAAACTTTGTCAACTTATTGCTTGCACTTGCCCGAAAGTTATAGGCATAGTTTTTTTATAGAATAAGGGTGACAATGAGCACACTGTCCGCCTGATGGTAAGTGGATGCTGTGGCTCATAGACATCTACATTTATCCTTGATTAAGTATCAAAATGCAGATGTGTTGCCACCCCTGAGTACTGAATTGGAATGCCTCGTTTCCAGTAAAAAGGGTCTCCGGTTTTCTACACTTACCATACGAAACACAGCAGCATTAACCTGCTATTTTACGCTGGTATTCTGTGAGAGCGTGGTCCTCCCCCGGTCGAGCTGACCCATTCGTGCTGCAACCACAATATAGCTGCAGCATTGTTCTATCTACCACTTAAAGAGACTATACGAAAGACATAAGACCATACGGAATACAGTGGCGTTTTGCTGCTATTTCTCGCTGACATTTTCAGTGCAGGCGTGGTCCTTAACCGATGTATGCGATTAGATTGGAGATGAGCTAAAATATAGTGTGCTTTAAAACCAACAATTTGTGTATTACCAAATAAATACCCAGACCAGCGACAGGCAGCAGCTCCAAAAGTGAGAGATTTCTGGCATTATGATAGTCAGTAATGTCCTCCAGACTGAATTTCGGTCTATAGCCTTCTAACCTCTAATCTTAAAAACTAGCCTCCTGCGCAGGACAGTATTATAAGGTACGTTAGGGTAATATGGTCACCTTAAGCTTTACCACCCTATAAAACCAAAACTAGGAGGAGTTCAGAGACAAAAAACACAAAGTCGGTATACTATAACTAATATATTAAGGAAAAATTGGCAAACATGCTTTGGAAATAATTAGGAAAACTTCGAAAATTCACCTTGAAAAAACTAACTACACTACACAGTACTAAAATTGACTAAAATATTTACTATAATGTGAATTGACAAAATGGCGTCGATAAAGCAGCGTGCTTTTGACCCTTTATTATTTGATTGACTGATGAAAAGCTATCGTATCAGAGAGCAATATATGCAAACAAGGCTGTAGTTTTTGAGTTATAAGAAAATGACCATATTAACCGGATGACCATATTACCCTCACGTACTATAGTGCACAAGTGTGCGCAAGGTTTACTGGCAAAGAGGCATTCCATCTTAGTCCTCACGGATGACAACGCATCTGCATCTTGAGTCTTTATTGAGGGTAGATGTAGATGTCTATGGGTCACAGTAACCACTTACCATCAGGTGGACTATGTGCTCGTTTGTCACCCTATCCTATAAAAAAAAAGGTGCACTGTCTATTCCCTCACTCTCATAGTCCGATGGGACGGGAATTCGACACGACCGGAGAGAGATGAGGCACAGAACCAACGGCTCTACGTTGCGTCCGAGGCACAACTGTAAAACACCGCCAAATTTTGACTCCAATCTGTTACTGCGAATTTCTTAACAGAATAACCCGATACCTTATGGCCCTGTCCGGGATTCGAACCCGGGACTTCATAATCAGTAGTCGCGGTTTTGATTATTAGATCAACGAGCCAGTCACGGTAGCCAGTCAGCTTACCAACCGTGAAGATTATTAATTAACCTTAATTACATCAATTTTGTTCATTTGCAATTTCAAGTGCTGATTTACAATATGCCCTGCTGTGAAGGAAAACATCGTGAGGAAACCTGCATGTCTGAGGAATAAGAAAAAAATATTTCGAAGACATGTGAAGTTCGCCAACACGCATATGGGCAGTGCGTCGGATATTTCCTTGCCCCAAAACCCTCTCAGAAATGAGAGAAAGCCTGTGCCCAGCAGTGGGACGTATATAGGCTGTAACTTTAACTTGTTTACATCAATTTTGTTAACTAGTATCGAGTATTGATGACCATCAATGTGCACTTGTTCTATTTTTAACTTAATACACAATAGTACTAACAATGTATAATAATGTCTCCAACATTCCTTCCAAAATTCGAATTTTTCAGTAAGGCAGATAATGAATAAGCAAACAGCAAAATTAAAAAAAAATAGTTTTTTTTAATATTATTAAATTACATCCATCTTTTCATAGTGATAAAAAGAATGGTGTGAGAGATTGCCAAGATGACAACTGCAGCGTATGACATTCCATTTCTGCAAACATTAAAGTGACATTACAAAACGGTCGCCATTATTAAAAAAAAAAACGAGAAAAATAAAAAGACACCAGAAAACTCGGTTAGAGTTCTCTCGAAATTAGCTGTTTAGACGCGACGGTAAATTGTGCGCTATACGTACATAGCTACAATGCTCAGCGCAAACTTTACTTGTAGCATCGTAGATATTCCCTGGAAAATGTATTTTTATTTTAACGCCACAACAGCGGTTGTGTAAAGCGCAGCAAATGCATAATGTATTACCGTCTTTAAAGAAGGTAACCTTTAAATTTAGTTTAGAAAACAATAGCAAAGCGACATACGCCATTTTGTAGCCGCGAACTTGCGCCCGGACGTACGCAGTAGCGTTGGCAGCTGTATATAGAGATGTATCGCCTTCTCGTTCTTTCTTATTGGTGTGGTTGATAGCACTATCTTGCTCGGGTGCGGAGCTAAGCCGCTTATCTTCGGCCCGCACGCCGCGCCCTCTCTTCCCGACGGCTGCTGCGCGTAAGGAGTACATTCTGCAATAAAGTTAACAAATACGATAGTCTTTTTTTTAATTCTATTGTAATTTAATCAAAACAAAGGAAATTTAAACATAATATCTAATATTATCTGTGACCTAGACGCTTGCTACGTATAAAGCGTAGCGTTCAAATGCCGCGGTACAAAACAGTTTTTCTTTGTGCTTTTTATTTTATTTTGAGGAAACTAGGGCAACACTCTTAAGAGTAAGTCAGTCTAACGGTAACTTGCCCGCTTCGTGGGTACAGTTTCGAGTTAAAAATTATTGATTTTTTTTTTCTTTATGAAAATCTCTAAATTCATTTATTCTCGGGGTCGTATTCACCAAGAAATGACCGAAAGAATTCTGAAAATTAACTATTAATGAATTTTTATGGCATTTTACTTTTTATAGTATTAAGTTTCGCGATATAACGCGCCTGTAATTCCCCTAGTGTTGTAGTTGCTCATAGGCGGCGATCGACACTAACCATCAGATGAGCTGCATGCTCGTACGTACGCTCGATATTAAAAAAAAACACTCTCTTGGATTGTAGTTTAGATCAATACCATTTTACTTTTGATTTTATAATTTTATTTATCTACTCTGTAGTCTGTTTGTGTGCTTATTCGATATAATAAAATAAATTTTAGCACACACGTAGGGTAAGATATACGTCTCTTGTATTTACAGTCTGATCTGTACACAAGTAAGGCAATTTGACATTTTACGTGGTAGAGCCATGCTGCAGCTATATTATGGTTGTAGCACGAATGGGTCGGCTCGACCGGGGAAGGACCACGCTCTCACAGAATACCAGCGTCAAATAGCAGTTTAACACTGCTGTGTTTCGTTTGGTGAGTGTAGAGAACCGGAGACCCTTTTTACTGGAAAAGAGGCATTCCATCTTAGTCCTCACGGGTGACAACGCATCTGCGTTTTGATTCGCAAACGAAGATAAATGTAGATGTCTATGGGCCACAGCAACCACTTACCATCAGGTGGACTATGTGCACGTTTGTCACTCGATCCTATAAAAGAAATGCATTATTGGCGTGTTTTTAATATGAGACCATGAGGTTATAAATTACGGTCTAAGCAAATCTAATTAAAAACAAATGAAATCATGCATGGATATTTGCCATATTGTCCTTGTTGGCAGGTGGGTTGGCAACCGGACTTTTCATTATCAGAGGTTATTAAGAAAACGTTACAGCCCATCTCTTGGGTTGTATCCTTCTGTAGCTTATTATATTGAAATATTTTTTTTTCATTATTATAACACTGTACGTATTAAGATATTCATTTAAAATAGACTTCAATTACAATCAATACTGATATATTTACACACTAAAACGAGACTAAACGTCAAATGTCGAAATCATTCCAACCACGATGTCCATCAAAATTAAAAAATACCGCTGCAGAATGCTTCATAAGAAATGCGTTGTATGCTTCGAAGAACGTCTAACACGTCAAGATATAATTTAAAATTTCGTACAACCGACTTCAATATAAATTATTAAGCATAAGCAAAAACTATTGGTCAGACCTTGATCGAATTTATGTGGAACCACATGTGAAACACCAGCTTTCAAATAAAAAAAGAATCATCGAAATCGGTTCACCTAGTAAAAAGTTATGAGGTAACACACATAAAAGAACATACAGTCGAATTGAGTACCGTCTCCTTTTTGAAGTCGGTAAAAAATCCAATCGTCCGGCAAATTGATCGATTTCATTTCATCAAATTATTTCAGAATAAACCATCAACAATATACATTACAAGAGCGTCCTACCACTCTCACTCGATATCTCCCTCTACATATACCTATTAAATTTATATAATATGGGACGTGCACAGCCTCCAGGCCACGTTACATAGACATAGAAATGCCTCCTCTATAGACAATATCGGTCTTCTTTGTTACATGTGACTAAAATATAAGTAATCAACAAGCAAATTAATATTTTAAAAAAAATAACTGCAGAGATCGAACTAATATAAGATATGAATATTTCCCGTACAAAATATATATTTTACAAAATATATAATATACATTTATTTTAAAATGTAATCTTTAATAGTTAATAACTTTCATGTGACACCATATACTATGTACCTAATTGCTTGGTTTTTTTTTCCTGATTTAGCAACTACCAATTACTTACGGATTCTGCCAGCGTCGAGTATTCAATGAAAATCAGTGTTAACAGTCTTAAATTTTACCACAAAATGTCACAAGTAATTTTCGGAAGAATTTAAATAGATACCTAGTTCTACAAAATTACCAACTTTAATAACATCTATATATACCAGGTTGATCAATAAGTTTTTACAAACGCAATGAAACTATAGGATAAGTAAAATATATAAATAAATATGTAAATTGTATTTATTTCTCAACGTAATCGCTTTTTAGGCTAATACACCTTAAATTGCGTTTTGCAAGTTGGTTAATTCCCTTGGAAAAAAGGCTTGATCCTGGGACTCGAAAAAGGACTGGAGGAAAAAGGAAGGAAGCACACATCACCTCATCGTCGCCATCGAATTTTACACCACGTGGTGGTTTTTTATACGTGGTAGAGCCATGCTGCAGCTGTATATCTGGTATAGTTGTAGCACGAATGGATCGGCTCGACCGGGGAACGACCACGCTCTCACAGAATACCATCGTAAAATAGCAGCTTAACACTGCTATGTTTCGTATGGTGAGTGTAGAGTACCGGAGACCCTTTTTACTGGAAATGAGGCATTTCATCTTAGTCCTCACGGGTGACAACGCATCTGCATTTTGATTTGTAATACCTAGAGGATAGATGTAGATGTCTATGGGCCGCAGCAACCACTTACCATCCACCACGTAACCACGCATGTGCTTTTTCAGGTGAGTAAAATGGTGAAAATCACTCGGAGCTAGGTTCGGAGAATATGTTAGGTGCTGCATCAATTGAAATTGGCAATGGTTTGGATGGTAGTGCCTGCAACATCAGATCGATAGGTAGGGTCATTATCATGATGAAAAAGTACTTCAGCACGCAATTTTCCTCAATGATTATTCTTTGGTTATTCGCGTAGTTTTTTGATTAATGATGCGTTACAATCTCCGATTATTGTCTCTCCTTTTCTTAAATAATCGATTATTATTACACCTTCCGCATCACAGAAGACAGAGGCCATTATTTTTCGAGCGGACGCAGACACTTTGAATTTCTTGAATGGCGGGAAAGATGGTCTATTCCACACCTTGCTTTAATTTTTGTCTATGGGTCAAAATGATGTACTCACGTTTCATCTACGATTACGAAACAAACGCATAAATAAGCTGGACCTTCTTCAATTATTGCTAAATTTAGCTTTGGAATGTCAACTCTTGCTTTCTTTTGGGAGTTTGTTAACTTTCTAGGAACACAGCGCGCTTCCACCTTTTTTAACTTTAAGGTATTAGTTAAAATAAACTGAATTATCCCAAACGAAAGCTTCACAATCTCAGCTAAATAACGGATGGTCACACGTCAATTTATCATAACAATTTCTTCGATTTTTTTTCACGTTTTTTTGCGACCGTTGTTGACCGCCTGGAGGATAGTCGTCATTGCAGGCGGTTCAGCCGCGTTTAAATTCAGCCGACCAGTATGTCGCTGTAGAATAAGACGGATCATTGTCTACCAAAATAGACTGCAGTTTTTCAAAAACACTTTTTATAGAAAACTTTTCAGACAGAAATATTTAGTAACCGCACGAAGTTCGAGTTCGTTTTCATAGTATGAATCCATCGATATTATGTACTACGCACTAGATTTCGCATTCCGAACATTGACTATGTTCAACTGAACTGTACTGCAATCCGTACACTAAACTAAATATTGCGTAAATTGAAGATTTGTGAATTCCATAAGATAATTATTGTTACATTTTATTTAGAAATATGTTTGTTTAAATTAAAATAAAAGTATTTTATATTAAATTCTTATACATATTTATTTTATATTAATATCTTATTTTATTATATTATCTCCCGCGCATGCGCGAAGACTTAGTAGCGCACAAGTTTTGTTTGGAATAGCTTCTCTAGTACGTAGTACATATAACTCAATGTATAATTCAAATTCCCGCCAAAAGCAAAGTTTAAAAAAAATTGCGTATAGTTTTTAATTTCGTTGTTTCTGGCCTTGGCTACTAACTAAAAAAGTAGAACGCATTTCTATAACTCATTGATTTGTTCTATTCCGAAAATATATTGATCAACCTAATAAAAATCAATTGATGTCCGTTAGTCTCACTAAAACTCAAAACTGACTCGACCGATTCCGATGAAATTTGACTGGGGTCTTGGTTGATTTAGATTTACAATTGGACTCAGTAAATGGCGCTGTTGTCGAGATCCGGAAATCACCCGTGCGACGCCGGGGCGGAACGTCATAAAATAAACATAAGTGGCAAATTTAGTTTAATGTTATAAATAGATATGAAATCAAATAGAGTTTTAATAAACACAGTGTAAACTAAATGTAAGAAAGACTTAAAATTTAGCAACAACTTCATCTTATGGAAACTGAACGCTGTGGCATATAGAGATCTACACCTACCCTCGATTATGAATCCTTTTGTTTTATAGGATAAAGGTAACGAGCACCCAGTCAACCTGATGGTAAGTGGTTACTATGGCCCATAGACATCTACATCTATCCTCGATTACGAATCAAAATGCAGATGCGTTATCATCACCCGTCAGGACTAAGATGGAATGCCTCGTTTCCAGTAAGAAGGGTCGCCGGTTTTCTACACTCACCATACGAAATACATCAGCAGTAAGTTGCTATTTTACGCTGTTATTCTATGCGAGCGTGGTACAACTACGTTCGAGCCGAACAATTCGTGCTACAACTTCACTACTAATAAAGCTGCGTTGGAACCACTGAGGACTAATATAACTAAGATTTATGTATCTTTACCAATAAAAAGAATCTTCGGTTCTCATCATAAGAACAGAAGCAATGAGCTGTTTTACGAT